TTTTATTTTCTTAGTGTTCAGCAGTAAACCTACCTTGGCACTTTCCTCCTTGATCTTTTTCAGGAATTACTCCAGGTCTTTGTTGTTTTCTGTTAGTAGTATCGTATCATCTGTGTATCTTAGGTTGTTAATGTTCCTTCCCCACTCCCTCGATCTTCACTCCTCTTGCCTCTGAGTAAGCCTGTGATGCATATGATGTTTTCTGCATATAAGTTGAATAAGTAGGGTGATATAATACAGCATTCCCTGACCTCTTTGCTGATTAGGAACCATTCTGTTTCACCGTACTCCGTTTCTGACGGCAAACTCTCGGCCTGCATACAGGTTACACATCAAGATGCTCAAGTGTAGTGGTATTCCCATTTCTTTGAGAGCATTCCATAGTTTTTCATGGGTACATCTATGTGCCCACATTGTCTGCTGTTCAAATTCTCACTGATGATGGGCAACTTCATATGTCATGGTTAAAGGCCATTAAGGGAAAGAGAGGTAGGAAATAAATGTGTTGTCCCTTGTATCCCATGTGGTTCCTGTTCCTAGATACATTTTTTAGCAGCACAGTGACCCATAGTCCATTGAGGAATGGGCCTTCTTTCTGCTTGGACCATGGCAGAGTGACACCTGACAGTGTTGAAGCAGGACCGAGTCAATTTTGAGAGATGCATTTCACCTTTGCTTTCATGGTTGCAAAAAGCACACCCCATTCAGCTATTTTTCAGATGTGTGTGTGTGTGTGTCACTTCAAGTCACTTATTGACTTATGGCGACCTAATTAATTCCATAGGGTTTTCTTAGGCAAAGAATACTCAGAGGTAGTTTTGCCAGATCAGTGGTGAAAAATGTCCATTACAGAAAGTCTTTTAATTTGGGTATCTCTATTACTGTATTTTAACATCCTTTAAAAATTGTTCTGAAATAATGTTTTAATACAATTGATTGTTTAATGTTTTTAACTTTTTTATTAGGCAGTGTTTTAACTGGAATTTGTTTTAACTTATGTTCTTTGCTTTAATTATATTAGGAGAAAGGTCTCCCAGCTCCCAGAACTCCAACCATGTGCTTTTTGGGGATTCTAGGCAATGTAGTCCAAAGATTATTTTTCCAAACTCTGATCATATGACCAGGTTAGTCGGGGGACTTTGGGAGCTGTTGTCCAGGAAATAACTTTTCCACGCTCTTGTCATGATATAATGATTTTATGTGGAATTATAATCTATTTGCTTATATGATTACTTCTTTTTCTTTCCCAGAGATGTCGAGCACTTTCAACATTTGGCCAGCTCTTCCCACCTTTCTGTTGGACTTTACAGTTACAACTGGAACTTTAATGGG